TGATTCAACATTAGTGTGTTTGCTGCATAATGGGTCATTCCTGCTGAATTTTTAGATCATTTGAAGACTACACGGGAAAAACCAGATATGTTACATTTTCATAGAAATTGATAGCGACAACTGTATGAGTACAGTTCCGAAAAAGTAGCAAAATAAGCGTTCGGCATTTAACGTTTTATGTAAAACTGGCTAGGTATTTTTACACAAATGAAGAAGGAAATTAAAAGGATTATACCATATCCGTATTGTAGCACATTTTTAGACAACTTTTTTATTATTAAGATTTTGATGGTCAAACAAAGTATTCCTTATGTTTGGACTAAATTTTCTCCAAAATAAAGACATAAATTAAAATTCGGTTACAATACGAAATAGATTGAAGTTTTGTGATTACAGTGATAATTTATATGGTTTGGTAACAAATTGCTCGCTATCTTATGGCAAATGCTGAAGCTCTGCAAACCTTAATCAAAGCACGTGTGTTTGGAATTTTGGACGTGGCTTAACACGACAGGATCGGGCTAAGCCTATTAGGCAGATTTCTGAAATATAATATATATTTCCTTTTGCCACACACCCGCTTTACCCGACCCCTGAGAGCGACCCGAACAGTACAGGGTAATAGAAAGAACTTTAACGAAAGATGATGATTTTATCATACTGAATATTCTAATGTGCTCCTTGATATCAAACAAAGGAGGATGTGACGCAGCAATCAAGAGAAGACTGTGTATAGCACGTAATTCCATGACCAAACTCAATAAAATATGGAAAGGTTCAGCCATTTCAATTAGAAACAAACAGACTCAGATTACTAAGAGCCATAATTTTCCCCATTGCCACTTACGCCTCAGAGACCTGGACATTGAAGTTGGCAACGAAACGTAAAATCGATGCTTTTGAAATGTGGTGTTATAGACGGATGCTGCGAATACCGTACACAGCTCACCGTACAAACATTTTAATACTCGAACAACTGAATATCGAATCCAGACTGTCGATATCAATAAATCAATCATACTTAAGATACTTTGGCCACATATCCAGGAACACCAATGGCCTAGAAAAACTATCTGTAGGGGGGAAAGTAAACGGGAAACGTCCTAGAGGGAGATCTCCAAACCGTTGGGTGGACCAAATGAAGACGATAATAGGTCACAGTCTGCACGAGGCCAGTACTGTTGCGCAAGACAGAACAACATGGAGAGACACAATAAATGCGATATCAAAATGTCACCATACTCTTATAGAGTAATAGAAAGGAGGAGAGAGAGGAGAATATTCTAAGGAACCAAGAAATGAACAGTCACAACCACTGTCAATTGGTCAATGGGCTTTGTGAAAATGAACAGACTTTATAACTGATTAGCGGAGCTCAAGGCTTGGTAGGGTTTGTATAAAAACTAATTTACTATTGTAATACTAATTCTCTTGCTTTTAATCTAATCATACCCAAAAAAGTCTTTTGGAGGAAATTTTCGTTAGGTTAGATTATCTTCTCAGACATTTACTTTTGTCAAAGCCCTGAGACTCTATGATGAGTTATAACTCAAGAAACAGGGACACAATAGACTTATAAGTTTGCAGTGATTAATATCCCCTATACCATACAATGTAGAATCTACAATCACCCTGTATATAACTTCGATCACCAGCCAAATCTAATTTAAATAATGAAACCTAAATTATTATGCAACTACAGACTTTGAGCAAGGCCAAATAACATTCATCTAACTACAGCCGTATAATCCCAAGCGTTAACAGACAAAATCACATCGACGCGAGTCTGTTATTAAGGTGTTGTTAAACTTATTATTAGCAAAGAGTTTACAGATTTTGTTATTAGGTTATAAGTACAGTTATTATGGCTTGATTTTATGCTGTCTGTAACAGCTAGTTTCTAAAATACCTTTAGAATTTCTTAGAATGCATAGAATTCGAAGAAATGAAAAGAAATGCATGGCATGGCTCGAAATGCCGTAGATCTATCGAGGACGTGCTAGAAATTTCCTCGATTAATTTTATTCGACATATTAACATAAAACTATTTATAATAAATTTTCCTTGGAGATTCCGTGGGTATTTTCCAAACAAAACAACACAATGAAATTTGCAAAGACGATTTATTAAACAGATAAACTTAGAGAGAAAGAAGAATAGCGACTTAACCTGTTCCAATATCCTATTTTGTCATATATAGCGTGTCCAAAAAATAAATGGTAAAAAATATTTTAACTTTAATCTTGTATTTGATAACTATACATACGGTAATCGTAAAAAATTCCGATGCACGTCATCAATCATATCGAAATTGACACTAAAGCCTATAAACCTGACTAAATGAAATTTTGACAAAAAATGTTTAAATTTGTTGCATTATATAATTTAAGATACCGAGCAGCTCTTCATTTTACTTTATAGAGAAAAATGATTGTAACAGATATTTTATTTAGATTAAAGCTGCAAAAATTAGATTAAACTCTCGAATTTTATTATCGCTATGTTGGTCACATTGCGCAGTGTTCAGCAACGTTTTCGTTTATTATTTGACAATTATCATAATGTCAGTCATTATTTTGTATAATATCGTGTTGTTGTTGAATCTTTTGTTTGCCTATTTTCATAGTGTTTTTTTTTAAAATGTAATTTTAAGCACAAACAGAAATATGTTTTCGAGTTCTATTAGGGACCATCAATAAGGAGTCCCAAACCTGCTAATTAAGTGGCTAACTTTTAAAAATTCTGTATTTTGAAGGGGACTATAACAAAATATTAAGTGTGCTATATTTATGGAAAGGTAATTTTAAGTTCTTTTCAGTTAAACAAAAATATACAGGGTGTCCCTAATAAAAAATAATTTTTTCTGTTGATAACTCTTAAATTATTAATTTTAAAAAATTATACTTAGACCATTAAATTCTACGTAAAAGGTGCTTTGGAAATGTTTTCTGCTCAAAAATACAAAATTTTCCATAGCAAAAAAGTTACAGCGATTTTTTAAAATTGCACATTTTTGAAAACACCCAGTAACTTCGAAACGGTAACAGATATCGATGTGCGGTTTTCACCATCACGTTTTTGATGCTCCAGACACCGATATTAGTTTCCGTCTATCTCCTATAGAAAAGGGTGTTTCTCTTTAAAAGCGTCCAATTTGCCCCACCCTGTACATGGTTATGATTAAAATCCGTTAGTTTTTAATAAATTTGTAAGTAAATAGCTTGGATTGTGCTAAAGCATAACTTTTACTGAAAGTTTCAAAATGAGCCGAGCAGTGTAGATGTTACTCTAACGCAGTGGCTAACAAAATGAGCCAAGCAGTGTAGAGACATACCCTAACGCAGTGGCACTTTGCAAAAAAATATTTTTTTTAGATTTCTGTGTCAGTGGTGAAATATGCATGCCAAATTTATTTAGTGTTTTTTTTTAATTTTTTACAACCCTGTATCTATAAATAATTACTAGCAGCATAGTCGAATGAAAACATATAATCAAATTTTATAATAACACGCTATACAAGATCAATTTAAATCAATAACCGAGGAAAAATTGAAGTTAATTAATATTAGTTAATAGTGTAAATTACTCAAAACTAATTTCGAATGTAATAATATAAACAAATTACATTTTGCTTATGTATATGAATAGATACACGATACGATAGATAATTTGTATTAAAAAATATATAGTACATATAGCTAAATTATTATTTTGTACAAAAGTCAGTCAAAAATAATTTTCAAGCTATCCTAGCTTAATCAGTTTAAGTCGCTAAATTTGAATCACTTTGTTCTAATTTAAAATTTAACTGGAAAGCACTAGTAGTGTCCAAGACTGGTCTTGATTGTGGTTTTGATCTTGATCTTGCACAAAAAAGCAAGACCAAGACCCAGGAAGCAAGACTCAAAGCATTTTTTTTCAAGTTTTTATTTGCATCTAATTTTTCAAAAAAATCGTAATTTTATTTACTTACTCCCTCCCCTATAATTTGGTTAATAAAAAATAATAAAAAGGGTTTCCACGAAACTATTGTCAGTCAATGAATATATATGATTTATGGTATATAGCCGTCAATAATAAGCTCATATTCGTATATTTTTTTTGTCAAAGCATACTAAATATTACCCTATTAGTTAAGGCGCTCAAGTTTTTTAAACCATTCAAATACATACATATACCGGGTGCATCTCGAAAGTGGCTTTACACCTATAACTTTTTATTTTTTTCAGCTAAAAAACGAGATTTGGTATGTTAGTATATGACCTAAATTACGATTGATTGGCGTATTCAATTGTTTTCGGTCAGTTCTTGTTTCACCGGAAATGACTAGGACTTTTGATTTTTAAATGCCTCCCTCGGCATTTTTTACTCTTTATTCGATAGAAAATAACATTCTGAATAGAATGACATATCATATGTCAACTTTTGGCATTTTCGCATATGGTTTATTTGAAATTATAACTTGCGGTTCGTAACGGAAATTTGACTCGAAATACGAAGTGTGTGGTATCAAATTATTCGTAAAAAAATGCTTTTTCCAAACATGCTAATGAGCCACCCTCATTCCATTTGAAAAAATTGAGAAATTATTAAAAATACGATTTGAGCATTTTCTAACTGGCCAGGGAGAGACACTAAAAACATTAGACGATCAAATCTATATTTCCAAGGCTCATTGATTAAGAATTAGTGTTTTTAACACAGTCACGGCACTCTAGATTGAAATTTAAAATACAATTTTTTAATAAGCGGTAATATCAAAAGTTGTGTATGAAATATGAAACTTAGAAATTTACTTAATAAAATCATAGAAAGAAAAGACCATTTTTTACAACACACTGTATATTTTGCTAATGTGTTCATAGTATTTATTTCTGTACCGAGTGTACCCCTACTCTTAGACTTTTTATCAATAATTTTAACTTACGCATTGCATTTGAATACTGCATTTTAGTAATAAAACAGGTTTTCTGTTAAATTGAAGGTTTAGCATTACTTGTCTCTATGTGTTATTGCTCTCATTAAACAAAATATTTATTACAGTAGACTTGATTTTAATGGTTTATTAGTGTGTTTTTTTTAATTTTATTATCGTATCGTTATTGTACCTATTATAAGTAAGTATATTTTTATGGTACTTTTTTCAAAAGCATTTCGCGTATTTACTAGTTCATAAAGTTGCAATTTAATGTTAATAGTTCGATCATAAAAAGTATTAATAAATTAGCAATAAATTTACATTTTTATTTCAGTTTTGCTCTACTTTTATGTTTAGTTTTGCACTAAATTTTTTTACTCAATGGTACACGGTGATCATTTTTTTCAAATATTTTGATTTGCTGAAAAGAAAAAAAAACTTGTTTAATAAAATAAATGGGTGTGCCAAGAATAATAAAAAAACTCAGAGATACGAGGGAGTACTTTTCTTATACAGGGTGTTTCAAAAAACATGTACCATCTCTCGTGGGGAGATTCCTCACGTAAAAATGAGATTTATTTTTCATATCAACATAGGTCCGATTCTGCTTTGTTTCGTAGCTACAGGGTGTTAAAGTCTTAATAATCTTTCGATTTATTATAATTTTCTTTAAAGTACTTTTAGTGATTTGAATGGAATGTTGAGGGTAAAAGTTACATAAATGCGACATGTTTTAAAGCTAAAAAAGAGTCGACATATTCACCAGGGACGTGTATATGGGTAATCACTAGAATATTGTTCTAAAAAAAGAATGTACGCCATTGACTTTTTATTCACTTGTTTTCGAAATAGTGTAAGCAATTTAATGCTGATTAAAAGTTTATATCTCTTAATATTGTGTCGATTTCGGCCTCCTTGATGAGACAAACGCAGTTTTATTAATTTGCCTTGATCCAGTAAGTCTAATAGAGACCTTTAAAAAATTTTAATATCATTAACTTGCAACAGTTTTAAATAAGTACTCATTGATTCCTCATCAAAAACATGAAAAAAGTTCCTATAAACATGGGTATGGAAATGCATAGTTATAGAGATACAGGATGTTATTTTTTTTTAAATTAGGTTTTGTGTAATTATCTTAAATACCATTATTGTTATATTTTAGATTACTCTTGGTTGGACTAATAGTAATAATAACTAATGGTAATAATATTTAATAATAAATTAGGTAAAATATATGATTGTTTAATTTTATTTTTATTTTAATTTTATTAATTATGTGATTACCTTATAAAATGTACGTTACTAAAAATTGATATACATATAAAACTTGTGAAAAATTAACATTATTATAGAAAGGTTGGCTGTGTTAATAGTACCGTATGATCGAGAAAAAACGGCGTCAGCGATGGCTATGGAATGAAGATCTCTGTCATTTTAAATGTAAATTTATATGGGAAGTGTCATTGATGTTCATTTCCCAGCCAACTGGACGCCGTTTTTTTTCGATCATACGGTACAAGCTATGAATGATTTTAGTATTAAATAACTTCAATTTTTTTTATCCATCCTCCACTTGTTTTTCTCTATTTGGAGAATATTTTAATAGAATATCCAATTTAAAAAATATACAAACCGTCGCCAAAATTAGCATAAATAAATTCAGCGGATTTATATTCTGAAAGAAATGCAAAAAGCAAGGAAATTTACCAATTTGTTACATAAATTAAAGACCGTAAAAGTATTTTAACGAAATTTATTTGGGTCACTACAGCATCCAAAAACCAGTTTGTCTATAATATCATTTTTTCAACAAATAAAAGCATAATGTTGAAATGTCATGAATAAATCGTTGCGGTTATTCATAAAAAGATTACTAGTTAAATAAGTGTTGATATAATCGGTTTTATGCAGAAAAAATAGTTTTTTTCACTATGTTTTTTATTATTTTTATTAAATTATTAAACTCCTGTTAGTAGGATTAATTAAGTAAGTTATTTTTTTCCATGGCAACTGTTAAAATTGCCTTATATCTATCAAAAATAGTAGATAAAATAGTACTTTAACCGCAAGGGTAGATTAAATGATACTTTAACAGCGAGGATAGGTTAAAAACTTTATTTCTTCTCGCACGTTTTTTAATTGCTTCCATTTTTGAAAATGTTTGTATTCCTTTTCATAAGTTATTCGGGATTCAAATGGAAGTAGTTTGGATATGGCGTTTGCCGCCTCAGTCTGAATATCTGTTGGTAATTTACTTATTTCATTTTGAGCCATTTCTGGCTCCAATTCTATCAGCAATCAACACGAAAGAGAATTAAAAAATATTGACTCAAAACTGACAACTAAAGAGACAGCTTTATTTATTTGTCAAATTACATAGAAACCAACGCGAACCCAGCACAATATTTTTTCTACTCGTAATAAATTCCTTGAAATAATGATTTCTGAATATTTTTTAAAACGTAACTCGCTATGGAAAAAACTATTGTTTTATACACGACGATAAAATTGCATTATCTTCTCCCGAAATTAATTAAAGATAGAGCAAAATATGCTATATCAAAAAATCACAAATTTCCCATTGATTACAATAGCAATATTTAAAATACTTCTTCATCTGCATATTTTTGAGAAAAATTCTGTTGTCCGATTGTCCATCACAGATGCGCCCCCTAGCGAACATCTCTCGAACTTGGAAGTAATCTCCAGCGATTTCTCTTGGTCTCAAAGTAATACGATAAGTAGTTTCTGAGATACAGCCAGCGTCCATTCTTAGTTGGCCACCCGGTACATAAATTTACATACGAGGGTGGTCTGAAAAGTTTCCGACCTAACAAAGGTACAAGACATTTTTTCTGAATATTTTATTTTATTTTTCAACATAGTCCCCTTGTAACTCTACACACTTTTCCCAGCGATGCTCCCATCTCTGTAACCCGTCCAAATAGTACTCGGCGTTTTTCTCTGCAAAATAGTGGTTCACGAAGGTGATTGCCTCTTCATTTGACGAAAATCTCTGTCCTCCGAGCGGAATTTTTAAACGAGGGAACAAAAAGAAGTCGCTAGGGGCTAGATCTGGTGAGTAAGGCGGATGGTCAAGCAGTGGAAACCGTAATTCGTGGATTTTCGCCATGGCAACCGCTGAGGTGTGAGACGGTGCGTTATCTTGGTGAAATAGGATTTTCTTTTTCTGTAAATGAGGCTGATTTTCCGTAAGTTCTGCTTTTAGCTTGTCAAGTAATGATGCGTAGTATGCTCCTGTGATGGTTTTTCCTTTTTGAAGATATTCAATTAAAATAACTCCATGACTATCCCAAAAAACAGTCGCCATCACTTTCCTAGCCGAAATAACAGTTTTTGCTTTTTTTGGAGCCGGTTCTCCCTTTGCCGTCCACTGTTTGGACTGTATTTTTGTTTCTGGTGTATAGTGGTGTATCCAAGTTTCATCTACAGTAATTAATCGACGCCAAAACTCGGATTTATTGCGCCTAAACTGCGCTAACATAGCGTTGGAAATGTTCATACGAACACGCTTTTGGTCTAACGTGAGCAAACGCGGCACCCAACGCGCGGACAGCTTTCTCATGCTTAATTCTTGATTTAATATGTGACAAACACGTTCTTTTGATATGTTCATAACCTCTGTTATCTCTCTCACTTTAATTCGGCGGTCGTCTAGCACCATTTGGTGAACTTTGGCGATGTTATCGTCGGTAGTTGCAGTTTTTGGACGGCCCGAACGTTCATCGTCTTCCAACCTCTTACGGCCACGTTTAAATTCAGCTGCCCAAAATTTCACTGTGGTAAATGATGGTGCAGAGTCCCCATACACAGAATCCAACTCATGTTTAATTTGTGTAGGCGTATTGCCTTTACAAACCAGATATTTAATGACAGCTCGATACTCGATTTTGTCCATTTTTACAAAAACACTGACATCAACTCACTCAAACGACTGTTACATAACAACTGCGCATCCAAAATGGCTGAAACTTTGGTGAATAACTGTCAACAGATGAACAATAAAAATTCACTAGTTTTTATCTACGAGTACTGCCATCTTCACGTTGAGGTCGGAAACTTTTCAGACCATCCTCGTAGATGATTTATTCTTGACTTAAAAGAAAATTACACCCTGTTACTATAACAAAAAAGAATTTCCGCTAATTATTTATGATATATCATAAATTGATTTTGATCAGAAATATGTTGGGAAAATTAGAAAATCAATAAAATTAGATCTGAATTCAAAAAGCTTATGTTTCAATTGAATCAGTATAAGACAAAAAATACTTTTCCTATTATTGAAAGTAACAATTTTTACTTTATTTACAGATAGTGGAGAATGCCCTCAGATACAGATGTTCTGTACCAGTTAGATTTAGGCGAAGCACCCCAACAACTTCAAGAATGGGCACAGGAGAACATTAGAGAAAATCCCGACACCAGATGTTTGTTAATAGAAGATTTTAAAGATATGATATACGGTAAGTAATACATTAAAAACAGATCTTGGGATCCACCTAAAAATCCTATCAAAAGAAAGTGTTACCGTTCAAGTTTCAAAATTTACCACTAAAATAATGGTTTGGGGAGCAATATCTCAGCGTGGTGCTACACCTCTGTGTATAGTTGATGGAACTATTAATAGTGCAAAATATTGTGATATTTTAAATGGTTTTCTTCTTGAAACGGCTCATGTTTTATATCCAGAGGGGTGGCGTTTTCAGCAGGATAATGCAAAATGCCGTACGTCTGCCTATACTCAAGCTTGGATGCAAGAACACCATTTGGTAACAATTCCATAGCCAGCAGCTTCACCAGACCTTAGTCCCATTGAAAACATATTGGGATTAATGAAGATTAAAGTGGAACGAGCAGCTCCACGAAATAAACAAGATTTAATTCGCTCAGTTTTACAGGCCTGGACTACCGCCACTGAGCATTATGGTATAGACCTAGTTTCGGGTGTACCTGGACGTTTAGTTAAGTGTTTGGAGTTAAATGGAGGTTGTATAAGTAAACAAAATAATAATTTGTTATAATTTTTTTAACTCAAGTCCTAAAAATATATAGCAATAATTGTAATTTTGCTTTCTTTTTTCCGGATACTTTCGGAATACTTTTCTCTAATAGACGGACTATATATATTAGTTAGTTATCAGACAAATATTGTTTCTTTCTTTTATAGATTCATTTGCATTAAATTAAAAATAAAATTACTTAAAATATTTATTTCACAGATTTTCTATGTTAAATAAAGTGCCCCTAGCAGAATAATTGTAGAATGTTTAGGAGGGCAGTTAATCACCGCGACCTTACAGATCTATTGTGTGTTCCCCTTTCTTGAGTTATATCGAGTTATAACTCATCATACAGTCTCAGGGCTTTAACAAAAGCCAGTATCTGAGACGGCTTCACAGAGTCCAGCTCTCCATCCTCGATATCGGCCGTGCCAAAGTTCATGGCACAAACGGTCGTCGTCTAGGCGCACTCAGTGATAAGGTGTTCTGGTGTTTTAAAGACTTGCAAGAGTCTTGTAGCAAGTCCAAGACCTGGACTACTTATTAGACTGCAAGACAAAACCAATACTTAAGCGAGTCTTTGAAACAGGCTCCAACTATCTATAACAACTGTTTTACTGCTCCATCAATTCTTATTTTGTATCTGATTCATCATAGTAAAGAATGCAAAGCAATTGCTGTTCTCCATTCGCGAATTTCAAGTTCCAGAACTTTAAGCACTTAGCTACTCGAGAACGGTTCGGAAAGGAGCTGTGCGCGATAGTCTGGTGCCTCCATATGGCGCGGAATAGTTCTGAACTTTATGACTCAGTTGAATAGAGTAAGAGTATCGCGTTCTTGAACAGTTCAGAGCTGCACAACTGCGTGAATGGAGGACAGTAAATGTGTGTACTCTTTATGATGACATTTTTTATTTGTTCTTTTTCTTGAATTTGTTTCATTTAAATCTATGGGGTACTCATTTTTCTGTAACTCATTTCTTTAGGACAAAAGATATTTTATTACATCATAACTAATTATTTTCTTGTCTTTTTAATACACTCTCTATAATTTTGGATTTCTCTGTTGCAGCTAGAGGAGACTGCACTCTACACCGAACAGACGATGCATTCCTGCTGCGTTTTTTGCGAGGTCGCAATTGGAGCCTCGAGGCAGCTTACAAACTGGTAATGATAATTTTATAAATAAACCATTAATAAGCACGTGTTCTCTACCCATCCTAAAATAACTTAATTACAGATAAATTGATCATTTACATATTTTTATTGTCGGAAATTATAATTAAGTTTTTGCATTCTCTTAATGAGCAAAATTAGTAATAGTTTTATATCCTGCAATTCAGTATAATTAGGGAAAAAACGACAAAAAGTTTAAATAGTTATTTTTGTTTCAACAACTTTTTATAAAACTGTATTTTCCTAATGTATGTATGTTCAAATAAGAAAAATAATATTTTTCCTATTATGTCAGTAACTTTATACATCGCACATGCCTAAATAACGCTAACGTAAAAGTACTAAGGAGGAACTGTACATACACTATACAGGGTCAGGCAATAATAGTGCGTCGGGCATCTGTAGCTCCTAGAATAAGAAACTTGTTTAAGTGAAAACTTCTATAGGGTGGCTCATAAAAGTGTGAATGGATCGGGATGCTTTTTTTAAATGGAACACTCTGTATATTATCTCATTTTTGGCTTCCTTTCAGATCACTTTACATAATTCTAAGATATGAGTAAATATATTTCGGTAATTTCAGGGATATTAATAAATAAATTAAAAATATTTATTTTTCAACCTTTCTTAAAAAAATTATTATAAATACAAGAATTATCCTGAAATCAAAACTATGTACATTAGCTATTTACTTTAGATGGTCTGTACTTACTTTGCTCTAAATATCGTAATCTTAAATCATATAGGGTGTTCAAAATTCTATGCCAATTATTTTTTTTTATTAGATGAAGAATTAAAAAATTAACATTTTTTGTATTTAAAGTATTTCAAATTTTTCATCGGGCTCTTTCAACGGTAAAATACGATCATTGGGTGGCTTTGATAAAAATTGAATGTGGAAAATGACATATGAAATATAAAACCGTGAATATCTGCGAAACCGTTAAAGATTTTGAAATAGGGGTCAGGCAATAATAGGGTCAGTTCCAAAATACAAAAAGTGTTCATTTTTTAACTCTCCACTATTGAATATATAATATACAGGGTGTTCTATTTAAAAAAAACGAAGAAAAATTATTTTATATTTTGGAAAGTTTGGCGTAGAATTGTGAACATCCTATATGATTTATGAATACCATATTTATAGCAAAGTTAAGTACGGATCATCTAAAGTAAATACCTAATAATATAGTTTTGATTTCAAGACAGTTTTTGTATTTTTAATAATAGCCCAGAGCCTATACAGGCCGAGGTTCAACAAATTAGAGACAAGCTGAAATTTGGCATGGAGCTTCATTTTGTAGATCGTTAAACATCCTGAAACCCCAGCGATGAAGCGTTGAGCCCGTCACCCCAAAACCACCCCTACAAGGAGTAAAAATGGCTCTTTTTTTACTTTTTCTTCAATAACTCTAAAACTACGAATTTTAGGAAAAAAAGTCACGACTAAAAAAAATTGAAGAGAAGAAAATTTCCTATCACATGGTTAAAGAACCAAAATTTTTGGAATTGCAGTGGCGCAGGTGCGAATTCTTTAATTTAGGAGGATTGTTTTAATATCCCACCATTCTGTGTTTAACTTCAAATGAAAGCATTTTTGAGATAAATCTCGAGACCAAAAAATTTATTAGGATACAAGTTCCTATAAAAACGATCTTTTTAATAAAGATAAGTTACCAGTGGTGGAGATAATTTTTTTAAATGTGCGTTTTTTACATTTTAAAAACATTGAATAAGAAAAATTGAAGTTTTACAAATAATTTCCCATGAAATAGGTATATTGAGAAATTTACACGTTTAATAACAAAATAAGAAAAACCTTAACTCAAAAATAGGATAACTTATCTTAAGGATAGTCCTCATTCACTTCCACATTTGTTGGGTTCATACATGTAATGCCATTGCATTGACCACATGCCATTGTGCAGGTGAGTCCCATTCGCTTGCATGTACATGCTTTTTTACAGCCTCCCGAAAAGCAATTGCAAAATTTTTTCTCTAAAACCCATGTAGGAGCAATGGGCTGGTCTGAATGTATTGGATTCATCTCTCGATTTTTCAGATTCCAACCCCAATCTTGCGGTGGTAAATTGTTATTTAACCAAGCCTATACCTGTAAGTTAAAAATGAGAATTTAGTTTAACATTTGAATGCAACATAAATTTAACTTACCTGATGAAAAACTCTAATCCATGGTATTTCGCACTATCGGAGGTAGGTGGTAATGATGCCAAGTTGAAGTTGGTATTAAGAGATCGCTATCCAAATCTACTTTTTTTGTCGAGTTTTTAACATATGTTACTATAAAAAACTGAGATGTAACTTCTAACTTCTCCTTTGTAGCCTCGGGATTAAAAAATTCTTTTACTAGCTCACATAACTTTTTCTTCTGGATGGTGTTTACTAAATTAATCTTCCCTTTATTGAACAGAGCAGACGTTGTGTCACAACCAAAACATATCGGCCTTACAACAACCAATTGTTGTAAGGCCGATATGTCGATTATTTTATTTGGTTTTGACACCTTTCCCGGACGAATCATAAACAGTGTCTTGTGGTAATAATGAATCAGTAACACTATAATGTCTGTATCTTCGCTGTAACTACTGCTACGGTCCTTTCCTAAATTGTCACTTATTGCGACCGCTGCGCGCTGTAGTTACAATAAGAGTATCGGCATCACCATCAGCTAATTTAATATTGATTCCATTTTCCAACAATACTTTTCCGAGCTCACGAATGAAGTTGCTGTTGTTGGTGTTGTTTGACAAAAAATCTGCCTTTGGTACGTACCTTCACTGCAGATAAATTCGAGAAAGATACAATTGGTACTATTTTTTTACCTGCAGATCTGCGATTCCTGCGTATCTCTCTATTTTACCTGCGTATCTCTTCATAGCCATCAAAAACAACAGTGATCTTTTTACGATAGTGATATGTTATATAATTATAGTATTGAGAAAACAGATCTAAAAATATCGCAGGGTAAATAACAATTTACCACCGCAAGATTGGGGTTGGAATCTGAAAAATCGAGAGATGAATCCAATACATTCAGACCAGCCCATTGCTCCTACATGGGTTTTAGAGAAAAAATTTTGCAATTGCTCTTCGGGAGTCTGTAAAAAAAACATGTACATGCAAGCGAATGGGACTCACCTGCACTATGACATGTGGTCAATGCAATGACATTACATGTATGAACCCAACAAATGTGGAATTCAATGAGGACTATCCTTAATAAAAGTTATCCTATTTTTGAGCTAAGGTTTTTCTTATTTTGTTATTAAACGTGTAAATTTTTCAATATACCAATTTGATGGGAAATTATTTGTAAAACTGCAATTTTTCTTATTCAATGTTTTTAAGATGTAACAAACGCACATTTCAAAAAATTATCTCCGCCACTGGTAACTTACTTTTATTAAAAAGATCGTTTTTATAGGAACTTGTATCCTAATAAATTTTTTGGTCTCGAGATTTATCTCAAAAATGCTTTCATTTGAAGTTAAACACAGAATGGTGGGTTATTAAAACAATCCACCTAAATTAAAGAATTCGCACCTGCGCCACTGCAATTCTAAAAATTTTGGTTCTTTACCTACGTGGTAGGAAATTTTCTTCTCTTCATTTTTTTACTCGTGACTTTTTTTCCTAAAATTCGTAGTTTTAGAGTTATTGAACAAAAAGTAAAAAAAGGGTCATTTTTACCCCTTGTAGGGGTGGTTTTGGGGTGACGGGCTCAACGATTCATCGCTGGGATTTCAGGATGTTTAAAGATCTACAAAATGAAGCTCCATGCAAAATTGCAGCTTGTTTCTAATTTGTTGAAGGTTACCCATATAAAACGATGTATCGGCCCTAAGCTATAACTTGTTTAAGAAAGACTGAAAAATATTTTTTTAAATTTATTATTAATATCTCTGAAACTATCTAAATATATTTACTTATACCTTAGGATTATGTAAAGTGATCTGAAAGGAAGCCAAAAATTCAATAATATACAGGGCGTTCCTTTAAAAAAAATCCTCCCGATCGACTCACACTTTTTTGAGCCACCCTGAGAAGTTAAAGTATTTTCCTGAAATACATCCTAGTACATATTTTAGGTTTGTACTTAAACAAAATTTCCAAGTTTTTTATTCTAGGAGCTACAGATGCCCCACGTACTATTGCCGGACCCTGTATATGCAACAAACTTTTTTGGGAAATTTTATTATACGCTAGACTTGTACACAACAGTTTGATATTTTATTAATATTTGTTGTTTCTTTTAGTTAGTAAATTATTATGAATTCAAAGAAGACAATCCTGAATTTTTTGAAAATGTCAATCTATTCAAATTGTTAGGCATTGGCTGTGATAACATTCTTACCGTACCACCCTACAGAGAACAAACAGGAAGAAGAATTTTACTGTACAGAATAGGTAATAAGAAAAATAAATGTTTATTTTATTTATTCCTACTATCATACAAATATTCTATAAATCTTAATTTAACATTAAAATATATACAGGGTTGTAAAAAATCATCATAATCGTGTTTCTGGGATCGAAATATACTATCCTTAAAACATTTGCACTTATTTAAGACTCACCACCAATAGTAAATTTATTTAAGGTTGTATGTACCTTAAATAAATTTACTAAAACATGTATCTATAAATTCTGTATTCAGATATCAAACTGAAATGCCGTGTTATTTAAATAAATAAATAAAAAGTTTATCGCACGAATGGTTGTCGTTCGGTGCACTCAGTGATGAGGCCATTCTTAAGGTGTGTATACATATGGCGAGCACAACGCGAGCCGAGCACGAGCAGAGCCTACCACAAGCTCAATTCGTCATATATATACGCCTTCTGCGAGCGCCTCGTGAGCCGTTCACAGTGTGATCGTCGTGATCTACTTCTTGTCGGTTTTTGCGACGAACACAAAGGAGCTCCAAGTTAAGGTGCGTATACATATGGTGAGCACAACGGGAGCCGAGCACGAGCCGAGCCTACCACAAGCTCAATCCGTCATATGTGTACGGCTCCCGCGAGCGCCTCGCGAGTCGTCTTCTTGTCGGTTTTTGCGACGAACGACGAATACAAAGGAGCTCGCAGTTATAATTTGGACAGCGTTGTGGTGGTTCGTCGTTCTGGTCTGATCGGCGAGCATGGAGCCTACATGGTCGGAGGATATTTTGCTTCAATTAGTTGAGTTGTATAGGACGCATACTATTTTGTGGGACCCCAAAGACGAAAATTATTTTAAAAAACCAAAAAAATAGATGCCTGGAAGGAAATCGCCACTTTAATAGGCAAACCTGAAGAAATATGCAAGAAAAAAATTATAAGCATGTTGGTAAGTTATAGAAGAGAGAGGAAAAAGGAAAAAGAGTCAGTCCGGAACAGGAAAAGGTGTAAAAAATGTCTATACCTATGTGGCGAATTCATCTCTCCAAAAAATCCTATTTGAGTATTTCGCCACTGCACTGCAAGAAAATCTACAAAATAAAATAGTTATTTTGTAGATTTTCTTGCAGTGCAGTGGCGAAATACCCAAATAGGATTTTTGGGAGGAAAAGGTGTGCTTTGCAAAAGAAGTATGTTTATTTATAGAATAACATTTATTCAACTACAATCTGAAAAACATATTAGTACAAAAAGTCCGAGTACACCCCTTTTTTTGTAGCAACTTTTTTTACCATAATTAAAAAAACTAATGGTACATTTAAAATCTTCAATACGTTTCTGAGTTGACGTGGGTCTGCAATTTTTTTCAAAAAATTTTATAGTCTTTTTTTAAGAATAATCTAATAATCAATAAGTATACAATTTTAAATCTTTTAAATTTGCTAAAAATAATAACATTTTTAAGATTTTTGCAAAAAATAGATTATTTTTGCCAAATTGAAAATTTTATATCTGTGCTATTTTTTGTTCAATCCTTGTGTAATTTTTAGGCGGTTTATAATTTTTGCCTCTCTTTTGAGTGGTACCAACCATTTTTATCTAAAACCACTAAAAAAATTGTTTTTCAGCTTTTTTTTAAACATAAAAAAGGCTATAATATTTGCTTGAAAAAAAGCGGTGTGGGAGACTTTTTGTATTGACTGTAGGTACAGGGTACATTACATATTATTTACATAATATTCGTTTGTACTTTCAATAACATATTATTATAATTTAGATTAAAACATTTAACTTTATTTATCTGAACATCTGAACCAACTTGCGTCAAAAACTGCACTGACACTGAAAAAAAAAATGGCTTGTGTGCTCGCGAGCCATTCACATTTCATATGGATCGTTGCTAGCTCGGACTATGATCTCGCTGTTCTTGCTGCTCACAGCGAACAACGAGCACAACACGGCGCGCTCGGCTCGTGCGCGGCTCGTGTTGTGCTCGCCATATGTATACGCACTTTTACCTAAAATATAAATTTAATAAAGGCATTTCAGATTCGCAATTAAAATTTTACTCAATTGGTTTTTATATACATAAACCAGTTGTTATGTTTTAACAGCAGGATTACGGGACGTCGGCGTCGTTGCAGCCACCTTTAGTAGAATTTATACAGGGTGTTTCAAAAAACATGTCCCATCTCTCGTGGGGAGATTCCTCACGTAAAAATAAGATTTATTTTTCATATCAATATAGGTCCGATTCTGCTTTGGTTCGTAGCTTCAGGGTGTTAAAGATTTACTTCACAGTTTCGGCAGAATGGCATCATTAAATCAAACCAAACACATCGAAATTAATTAAATCATATTGTTTAAGTGATATTTTTAAAAGTCAATAACTGGGAAACGGTTTGAAGTACATTGTGTGTATTTCGATTTTTGCTTAGAATTGAAGGAAGAATTGAAATATGTAATAATATACAGGCGATTCTATTAAAAAAATTAAACTTTGATGTGCCACGACTTTATGAACGACCCTGTATGCTTAAATTTATTACTCGCTAATAGATATTTAAAAGTCCTATATAACTTTTGTATTTAACTTTTTGCGGTACCTCCTATATTTTACCTAATAATCGACCGTTTCCATACATAAAAGCGACTGCATTTATTAAAAACGTATAGCATTTTCCTTTCATTATTATATCCATTTTATTTTAGGAAACTGGGATCCAGAAAAGTACAGCGTCACCGAACTGTTCCAAGCCACGCTAGCTGTTCTGGAATTAGCAATTTTGGAACCACGAGCTCAAATCTTGGGCGGAGTTGCCATGTTTGATATGTCCGATCTCACTCTAAACCAAGCATATTATATGACGCCCAGTATCGCGCATAAAGTTTTCCAAATCATGGTGGTAGGTATTCATGCTCAACAAAGAGCATCAATAGAACAAAACTTTAAGTGGTTCACATTGATAACTCAATTTATCAATTTGATTAGAACTATTTTAATATCAAAATCAGACAGCCCGGGAACTAGGGAGGGGGGGGGGCAAACCGGGCACCTGCCCCGGGCGCCAGTGTCAGGGGGCGCTAAAATCTTAATATAATATAGTTGAAAATAAAAAAAATGCTCCACAAAGCGCAAAAATTTCTTCTATCAAGTATTCATTTAATTTTAAAACGTCCAGTTAGTTTTTGAACACATCCTAAAGGCTCATTCTGTCCTGTTTACGAAAAATGCCTACCTATATTTCATATGAATTAAACTTTTAGTTACGTAATCGAGAGCGCGGTTTTTAAATTCATTGTTGCCAACCATGGACATATTCGGCGCCGGAAACTGGAATTTAAATTTCGCGCTGGGGATTCAGGTGGTAGCTCTGCTGTAAAAAAATGTCAAGTTGCCGCATTTGTTTATTTATTTCTTGACATTGTCATTCGTTTTGACACTTTAGTTTTGTATTACAAATGTTTGGTTTAAATAAATAAATAGTGTTAAGTGTTGTGATACTTTAAGCTCGAAAATGTTTACTAGCAGACCTTGCAGTCGAACATTGTTTTTTTAGAAATTTATAATTAATTTATTTTTGTTACCTAAAATATTTTGATTAAAAAAAAAATATATAAAAGTGGACAACGCTGTGCCGGTCAAGCCAAAGGGTCAAACTTTATCACTTGACTAAAAGTTTATTTGGTATGAACTGTATATCTAGATATTTGCAAGTTTTTTAAATTAATTTACTTCAAACGCTGGGGAGAGGGGGCGCTACTATCAATTTTTTCCCCGGTTCAAAAAAACTGTAGATCCGGGGCTGAAATCAGATGATAAAAATCACCAATGTAGACTATAGTAGGTAAGACGCAAATTTTAGCTTCAGTAGTAAAAAGAAGTTACTGGAATCCAAAACTGGCGAATCCGAAAGGTAAAGTCTGTTCAGTGGGTTAGGGAAGATTTCGAACATTCAAAAAATAACAGAAAATACAATTTGTCTGTGAATCAAAATGACAGACGGAACTGTCGTTGTCATGTATCCAAATGTTAGAAACAACAGCGATGAAAACCTAGGGATGAAAACGATATTTAGAATAGTTGTTTGAAAAACATTAATGGACAGCTTAGATCAATATACCACATATACAATATAATAATATAATATATTTTTATACCCCTAGGCAAGAAGGGTAGACCTCGGGGTAGACCATGCCACTTTTTTGTTTGGACAAAATTTTTTATTTTTATTTTTCACGATCTGGAATTAAAAAATACACACAACCCTAAATTTTCACCCTTCTACCATCAACCAGTATTTTTAATAGCGATGTTAGTAATTCAATAATTTTCAACCCCGTAAATAATAATGGCTGTTGTCCCATAAAAATATTTATATGGCAAAACAACGGTTGCCGGATCAGCTAGTTATACTATATAATTAGGCAAATAATACAGAAATGTATTATGCCTCTACCTATCTGACATCTAATTTAGCATTATTTCTAATATTACTTGACAAAATGGCGAATGAATTTTAGTATTATACGCCGAATAATTCAAGAATTATTCGTATCAGTGTGCGCTGTCCTTAAACTAACATAATCTTTTGGTTTCCAATGAAATATGGGAAAAACTAAACAAATAAGCCAAAGACGTGTTTGTTACACCATTTATAGCTCAAGAACAAGATTTGTTGGATTTGTCTCCGCCCCGAATAACAGTATAACTAATAAAACATACGAAAAATTCAGGGAAAAATTTACCGAAAATTATTTTTTAAATAAATTTGATTTGGAACTGCGCCATTTTCCACAATGACAGGCCACGTTAGGCACGCTTATAGCTTATTTTTCATAATTGATGCCCACTGCAAATCATATTATATCTTCATCATCATCATCATTCTCAGCTTATTCAACCATTTCCGATTATGGTGTAGTCATTTAGAGGTTAATAGTGTAGCCTTCCTTACATATTTAGATACTCTTTTTGTAGTTGGGCCCATTGTTGTCTATTATTGGCTATGTGGGCTCAAGTTATCCCAGCTAATTTCCTAATATCATGGTCCCACCTCAGGTTCAGTATTCCCTTAGATCTCTTAATTCCTCGTGGGTACAATGCTATTATTTTTATGATCCATCTGTTGTCCGTCTTTCTTGCCAGGTGTCCTGCCCATTCCACTTGAGGGATTTGATTTTGTGGATGGTTATATACATATTATATATTACATATTAAACAAAATAGAATACAAATTCAAAAGAAAGTAGTGAGAAAAAAAAAATTCAAATCTAGAAAGATATTTAAATACATAGAAAATACTTGAATCGAAAAAATATAGAGAACAAATGCCAACATCTGTCAAATTGACTAGTCAATCAGTCATCCATACCACAAGAATAAAAAAAACACAACCACAAGAGAAAAAACTCATTTCACTTCATACCAGGTTTTACCAGGTACGAAATTAGCCCGATCAGTTAGTAGAACATATTTTAACAGTAAAATCTACTCAATGTAATATATGTAATGAATATTAAAGCACAGTGACCATTTTTATGTTTCAAAACGTTATTTTATTATACATAAAATAGTGGAGCTTTGCCATAATTTGAAGTATTTCTTATATTCGTATTCGAATCGTATTCTTTTTCCTTAATATATATTAAAGGAAGACGCAGACAAGAAAAAGTCATCCAAGCAAATTGACATTCATTTTTTTTTAAATGCGTTTTTTAAACCTCAATAGCTCAATGGTAATTGACATAAGTGATTGACTTGTGTACCCTCCACATATCAGTTAAGAACTGACCTCTTATTGGTTGAGAGTAGTACTGATTTTCTCTGCTGAATGAGTTATTGTACAGTATTTTTTATCCTATCGTCACGACACAAATGACATTCAACGTATTTATTTTTTTTACAATTTCTTAATACGAGAATCTCTTTTAAAGTTCATTTCACTAGTCCGGAAAAGTAGCATAAGTAGAACTCTTTCTGCTTCCAATTCTCAACTGAAATCATAAATAAAGAAATTTAATAAATTCATTCACAACTGATGCCAGTTCTACATAATATATGGTACTTTTCCCATTAGACCACCGAGGAAAATTTAGTACCGGGAAGTGAGGGCTTAAGATAAACGTCATTTCCTGGTACTAAATTTTCCACTATCTATCCGGAAATAAGCTATCGATAAATTGTTTTGCGGGAGATTTAAATTCACTGGCACTTTTCTTCGTGTTCGTCTGTACTTTCACCGGTTATCCGCGCAACGGAGAAGCAAGTACCATTCGCAATGAGATACATGAATGACGATAATTGCGTAATGGGTACTATTAGTGACGCTAGATCGGTTCCGTTTAGGTTCTTGCGGTATTTTATCTAGTTTCCGTAAAAAAATATGACTTTTTGTCACTTGAATTAAATGAATTGATAAAATCAGTGTAAGAAGTAAAGTATTTTAAGTTAACGACTCCTTTTTTCTGCTAAGATTAATCTGGACGGGGCCTACTTTGTTTACACGGAATCCGAACCGCGGTCTTCTGCCATATCATTGTCAATGGCCGTCTTGGCGAGCGTTGCCATGAAAAAACAGCACTACAGAATATCCAGACGTCACAATCGTTCATCCGCGCCACTCGCCTCATGATATACTTTCTTGACTATGCATACAGGGCGTCGAATTATCTGAGATCCGGGTAAAAGTGTAAAAATCCGGGTAAAAGTGTAAAAATACCTAGCCAGTTTTACATAAAACATTAAATGCCGAACGCTTATTTTGCTACTTTTTCGGACTAGTGTATATCTCGTATTAAGAAATTGTAAAAAAATAAATACGTTGAATGTCATTTGTGTCGTGACGATAAATACAGTTCTACAACTCTCGCGGTTCCATTTCAAGTTTTTTTTAACTAGTAGAACAAAATAGAGACACGTGTAAACTTGACTTACTTTAAAACAAAACAGGCGTGACATAATTGACGATAATAAGCTGTTATTTTGACAGACCGTAAAAACTACAGTCGTGGAACGATAACCACTGTGACAACAGGCTTTCTTCCGTAATTATGCCGAAATTTCAGGCTTTAAGCTGGCATGAAAATACTTTAATGCACCGGTGACCGACAGTCTTGCAGAAAATTGCATAATTTGAAGAAGTTGATTCTTACACAGAAAAAAAACAGCAAATAAATTGTTAATTTCTCTAATATTTTAGTTAATCGACTTGAATGAAACTAATTGATATATACAATGTAAATTACAGAAATATTTGTTAGACATACTTACCTAAAGGAAAAGTTAATTATTTTCTTGTTTAGTTTAAGTTGACGTACTTATTTATTAAGATATTCTACTGTTTCAGACTTCATTTCCAATGAAAATTCATGCTGTCCACGTTTTGTTCCAACCCTGGATTTTCGACATAATTTTTGGGATGTTCAAACCGCTTATAACAGGCAGCATGAGCAATAAACTGTTCTTCCATGGTGATGATATGGAAAGTCTTCACAAGCATATCGATCCTAAGCATTTACCCCAAAGGTAAATATAATTTAATAAAAAAATCAAAATATTTTAATATTTTTCTATAAATGTCCGTTCTTATAGGTAAACACAACACGCTACTAAACTAATCAGTTACACATTAACGCAACAATCGCTCAAACAACACATTCTAATTGACATGAAAAAAGATTACTCTAATTTACATCTGAATACTTTGAAAAACTTTGTCACCAGAACGTTAGAACACCAGGTTTGCAAAGAATCTTTTGAACGACCACATCAATTTGCTCTTGCTCTTTTAAAAAGCCTTGTCTTGTCAATTAAAGGCAAGCCCCATCGATACAAGTAGCAAGGACCTATTAAATTCACCAGGGCAGAGACAGGCAATAAAAGGCATAGTAGAAAATTCGCCAAAATTGACTAGATCTGATAAGCAAAAACAAAGACTGTCAAAGCTACAGTGGGTCTACTAATAGAACGCATCTAAAGGTGCGTCCAGATCTGACGAGCCGAGGGCGAGACATTCCAAATTTGCCACCCACGGAGCCTCGTTGCTATCTGTTCTCTGTCGGTTTTGCGACGGCCGATCAAAGAAAGCTAGCGCACAGTCTGGACGTGTTTTTGGCAGGCTCGCTCGACTGCGAGATATTAGCTCTGATTTATGAAATTCGACTATTTAAATTAAATAATCTCAATTTTTTTAAATGATACACCATATGTATTATCATTTTTTCTGATAGAATTTACAAATTTTGCGTCACTAATAATTTTTACAATACCGAAATCTAACATTCCTTTAAGCAAATTGAATTATTACAAAATCTAATAAGATAGATTTAGATACATAATATCATATGCAAAAAAAGTTACCGAATTGTAGTTAGAAATTAATAATAAAATAAAAAATATGTTTTTCCCATTAAAAAATATATGTTATATCCGCAACACTTTTTTGAAGTACCCGGTATACTCTACAGTAATTTAAAAATATGCTTCCTAATTTTCCCTATAACTTTTCTATTTAACATTTTGCTCTAAAAAATTGTTAAAAACGTATTTTGTAAAAGACGTCTTGTCTCGAAACAAATGAAGGTTTGTTAAAGGGGAAAACAACCAAAAGGGAAAAAACCGATAATGAATAAAATACGACAAACCAAATACCATGTTAAAGATACAAACATTTATTACTGTATAGTATGAGTTATTATTTGGCTATCGTTTGTTATATTCAATTACAATTTAATGTGTTCGGGTTCCTTTCACTATCATCCAACTCGCTTGTCTAGTGGCAAGCTTGCCTCAAACAATGGATCGGATGTTTGAATGTTTCGTTCTTGCCTCGCTCTCGTCTAGCTCTCGTCTCGTCAGGTCTGGACGCACCTTAAAGCTAATAGGATTAACGGACAAAGCCATGTGTAGAGTTTGTCAATCCGAAGAAGAAACAACAGAACACTATTTATATCAGTGCGATAGCCTGGCAAATTTATGGTTGTTGTAATAAGCCATTGACAAAGAGCTATATGGAGGGTTCGTCTTCAAGTTATTAGAGTTTTTGATAAGGATAGAATTGGAGAATCTAACATAGGGATTGGAAGAGGACCACAAAAAGATCTGAAAAGATGTCAGTAAAAAATCTACTAATATTTCCCCTTCAATTTCTCTACATAATAATCATTAAAAATGGCAAGTGTAACTCAGTCACTAAGTGAAGCATTAGAAGCGGCGCGGCGTTGTCAGTATCGAGAAATATTCCCCAAATTAAAGAACCTCAACCTAATCTAGAAAATTCAGACTATTCTTTATTAAAGTGATTTAAATGTTTTTAAGTAAGTTAAAACAGTGCTTATTTAATTGCAGATACGGAGGTCGTCATCCGGATTACGACTACAGTCCCTGGATCGAGGGATTCAAGATCGACGAGAAAATCAAAAAGCAAATGCGATTGAACGGATACATAATCGACGAAGACGAATACGACAAACAGGCGCGCGAAAGAAAACTGTCCCAGAGTTCCAGCACTTCCAACTAAAGACAGCTTGTGTTAAAATGTTTTTCGTGGTTAAAAGTAAAATTGAGACTGTTTAAAATTATCAAAATTCTATATTTTCGGCTTTAGAATCTACGGGATGGTACAGTTTTTGTGGCAAGACAGTATAAGGGCTATAATTGATTACATTCTGACTTAATTTGATGGCTGTATACCAAATTTAATTAAAATATTGAATACTGTAAAAAATCGATATAGTTTAAAAAAATTTTGCACTGCTTTATTTATTTAAATATGTTGACATACAGTTTTCTTTTTAAAGTATATTTAGATTTAGTGATAAGTAATGCTACAAAATACTGGGCCACTCTGTATACAGAATGTCCCTAAAAGATCTGTACAATATGCGAATACATATTTATGGTCATAAAATATGACGAGCAAACCAAATTTATTTTTAGAATTGTGTCTTAAGCTTCATTGAGAACCTAGCAATTAGTGGAATAAATTAGTGGTTTCAATTAGCGTAGAAGTCTGTTCCTTTAATTACAATGTAAGCATTTAAAACGTCAAAATTAGTAGTAGACATTTTCAATTAGTAGAAAAAGTTATCAAACTATTAACTTTTCCACTTATTATACTTCAAAATTTACGGGAAATGTCATTTTGGCCTTTGATTATCTTTCGTCAAAAGAAATTGTAGTTAGAAATCAAAAGTTGATTATTTTATAAGCTAAATATTAGACTTTCTATATGGATTCAACTGACTAACGCAAGCTGTTGCTAGGATATTCTATTAATTTTAATTGTATTTTTAAACATTGTGAATGATCGTAAACTAAAAAGTATAAAGTGTAATTGAAACCACTAATTTATTTCATTAATTGGGAGGTTCTGAATGAAGCTTTAGTCCTTCAAGAGGACACTCTGTATATTAAACAAAAATAATTACGTAAAAAATTATAGATATAAAAATTGGAAAAAATATCACAGCCTATTTAATAACCCCCCATACACAAGAAGATCAGGCCTGCGGACTTGGCCTGCCACGCACCAAAACTCTGTTTTAGACCGTTTTTTTAGACCAATCTAATTAAGTCTGAGGATTTGACCTGTGATAGGCTTAGTCCGCCAAGGACCTGGCCTGCCACAGACTTGGTCCACAGGCAAAATCTTCCGGTGTATGGGGAGCTATCAGAGGGGAGCTATCAAGTTGACTTTCCTGCTTTTATACACTGATCTTCAATTGGGCTCATAATCCGACTTGTTACAAACCATAAAAAAGCGAATATCTAGATAGGTGCGAAGTGTTCCATGTAAATGATCGTAAGTCGACTAGCTGTCTAACGAGTAGGCTGTGATGGTACTCTATTGTTTGTGATAAAACAAAAAATGATTGTATTATTTGTAGGTCAGTTGTTATACAGTGTGGTCCGAACTGTATTCCGGAAACTTCGGCAGCATATTCTGTTTATAAAAATATGTAAAAAAGTTCGTATAAATGTATGTCCTAAAATGCTTAGTTTCGTAGATACAAGGTGTAGAAGTTTCATTTTTATTTCGATTTTTTCTAAATAATTTCTGAAGCAACGTCAATATTTGTTTTTTTTAACTAGTTTGAAAAGTAATAACTTTTCGACCGTAACTGCATAGTTTTATGAGTAAAAAATCACGGAAATGTATATTTTTTCACCCAGTAGTTTTATACAGGTACGAAGGAAAAGTTATTACTCTTCAAAACAGTTAAAACCCATGTAGGTGGCGCCTCCTACAAATGGGAGACATATTGACATCAAAATCAAATTTCTCATGTCAAAAAACAAAACTCCCAGACACCAATTTTCATCTAAAATATTGACGTTGTTTCAGAAATTATATGGAAAAAATCGAAATAAAAATTAAACTTCTACACCCTGTATGTCCTAAACTAAACATTTTAGGGCATACATTTATACGAACATTTTTACTTATTTTTATCTGCAGAATATACTGTCGAAATTTCCGGAATACAGTTCGGACCACCCTGTATAAATTGTATTTTTAATTTAAGAGTCCATACGTTTGGGTTTTCAGTGATTTAATAACATTTAAATGGATTATTTAATGATTAAAATGTAATATGTGCTTGCAGAAGAAATAAAAATAATAAATTTGTGTATTGTTTCTTCTGTGTTCGGGACATTATGGAATAATAATTTATTTCCTATTTTGTTATATACTGGGTAAAAGATATACAGGGTCGAAAAATATGTTTTTATCTACAGTATGTCCCCGGATAGTCTTTACAAAAAGAAAAAAACTTTTTTATTATTAACATTTTGAGAAAAATACATTCTTCATTTTAAAAATGTTTGCTTGTTCTACAATAGTTAATCCCGTTTATACTTTTTCAAATTTATATACCGTTTTAGAGAAAATTAAAAAAAAACATGAAAATATGGTTGAATTTTTGAAATCTTAAAAATCAAAACGGGTCTCTATGGTAATGTAATTTAGATTTTTTTTCAATAGATGGTTATTATTAATTTTGATTAACGTCATATTTTTTGTTGTTAAAATATCACATTTTCTGATAACTACTATGGCTCTTTCCATAACATTGTACTAAATAAATTTTGTGCTTCTTTAACATTTTAAAACAGCAAGAAAACATGACGTTAATTAGAATTCTATCAACAACAATCTATTAAAGCATGAAAACGAAATTATATGACCACAGAAACACGTTTTGATTTTTGGGACTTGAAAAAATTCAACTATTTTCATGTTTCCTTAATTTTCTCTAAAACGGTATGGAAATTTGGTACCGTATAAATTGAATTAACCATTTTTGACAAGCATAAATTTATATGAAGAATAGATTTTTCACAAAATGTCAATATTAAAAATGTTTTTCCTCTAGTAAAGGCAATCCGGGGATATACTGTATAATGATACTCATCGTCTATTGATATTGAGTTAGTAGGCTTATATTAGTAGATACTATTTTTTTATGGCTCATTTTTTATGTTTTTTGTAATATATTAAATTATTGAGTGTAACTGTAACTAACTACTTACTTCTTTAATTAAAATATAAATTGATTTGCAAGGTAATGATATCAAATTTTATTTTTTTATAAGAAAAAAATATTGGTTGAAACATTAGAAACAATCTATCACACAACATCCAAAAAATTATAGAAAAAAAATCTAATCTCTCTTAAAATGAAAGGCCAGATAACTCTCAAACTGATGCTATTTTCACTATAGTTGAATGTTACGGCCGCGTTTCTTCATTACGTGTAAAATACCTAGATAATGTTGAGTACCGCAACTGGCTCCATTTTAATACCATGTAGAGGCGAAAAATTTAAAAATAAGGGCATATATTTTTTTGAACAGCAACCAAAAACACTTTCCACTATGCTAATGATTCATATTGATAAATTGCATAAAAAATAATAAAAAGGGTTTTATAAATTTTATAATTTGTTAGAAAAATAACCATTTATTATTTTATTTTTCACACATTATCATCCAGTAATCCAAAATAGTGAATAAACCAATTTTACTGGTACTCTGTTAATATCTAGGAACTTTAATCACACGAAATATGATATTTAGAATACTTTTTTTCTACCGCTATATTTTTTAGAGTTTTGTAGTGTATTATCACACAAAATTGACATTACCCAAATTTAATATTGATTGTGGTTAATTTGCAGTTAAAAGCTGCACTACATGTAATAGGAAATTATGTTGTATTTAAAAAACAAATCAAACAATCTGTATATAGTCTGTCCAACGACTCAGGGAAGATTTCGAAAGACGACATCCAAAAAATGACAGAAAGTTCAATTTGCCTGTGAATTAAAATGACAGACACAACTGTCGCTGTCAGGGATCCTCCCATTGGACAGACTATATGCATGTATGTAAAATAGGTGCTAATTATATTATAAAAAATGATCTTTTTTCTAATCTAATTAGGTAGAAGGAGTTTTTTTAATTGTAGATATTAATAATAAAGACAAATCAGTATGATAGTGCAATATTTATTTCTCAATCCAAAACTATTTTAAATATAATCATATTATTATTCTAGTTATTTGCTATATGTTAATTAAACATGTATATAATGTGGTAAACCAATGCCAATTATATTCCATAAAACTGGTTCTAATAAAATTAGGTGTTTAAATTGCTTAAAGCAGCGTAATACGAGAAAGACGAGCGAATAATCTGAAAAGTAAAAGAAACATTAAAATAATCAAACAATTTTATTAAAAAAACTCTTCCAGAAAGAAATTAATTTATTTTAATTATTTCTTTGGAAAACCGACAACTATGAAACTATGAACCCTTTCCGGACACAAACGGTACATTGTGAGACAGGAAATTGTAGAGAGAAACAAACCCTATAACATAGGATACAACATTTTAATGAACAGTGCTTTCCATAAAATCAATAAAATGAAAAATATACGAAATAATATACATGTACTGATTTCTTTCGAAAATCGACAACTACGAAACTATGAACCCTTCCCGGACACAAACGGCACATTGTGAAACCGGAAATTGTAGAGAGAAACAAGGCCTATAACATGTGATACAACATTTTAATGAACAGTGCTTTCCATAATATCAATATAATAAAAAATATACGAAATAATATACATGTACTGATTTCTTTCGAAAATCGACAACTACGAAACTATGAACCCTTCCCGGACACAAACGATACATTGTGAAACCCGAAATTGTAGAGAGAAACAAGGCCTATAACATGTGATACAACATTTTAATGAACAGTGCTTTCCATAATATCAATATAATGAAAAATATACGAAATAATATACATGTACTGATTTCTTTCGAAAATCGACAACTACGAAACTATGAACCCTTCCCGGACACAAACGGTACATTGTGAAAACGGAAATTGTAGAGAGAAACAAGGCCTATAACATAGGATACAACATTTTAATGAACAGTGCTTTCCATAATATCAATATAATGAAAAATATACGAAATAATATACATGTACTGATTTCTTTCGAAAATCGACAACTATGAAACTATGAACCCTTCCCGGACACAAACGGTACATTGTGAAACAGAAAATTGTAGAGAGAAACAAGCCCTATACATGGGCGTATATACGGGAGGGGTAATGGGTGTAATTACCCCTCCCAGAAAGAAATTAATTAATAAGATAAAATTTGGTATAAAATAAAATTGTTACAAAAAAGTTAATAATACAAATTAAAACAGAATATCCAAACCAATCCAAGTAGATTTTTTCCACAGTTACAATACCTTCCAGCAAAAATTTAATTCAAATTTAGTACTTTTTTGAATATTCACACTACCCCTCCCAGACTCAATCTCTAGATGCGCCACTGGATGGTTGCTAAGAAATGAAATGTCAGATTCAAAATCTAATAATATCAACGTGTAGAACAAGGAAAGTCGCAATGGGAATGTAAAATGTGTATTATCATTATCATAATATCTTTTTAAATAAAGTCAGAAAACAATAAAAACGAATTCGGAAAAATTCGGATTTACCAAAAAAAAAAATATCTTTGGAAATAACACCAAACACATAATGCTAGTCTTGCTAGTTACTATTTCAGTCTTTTTTGTTATAGAAAACGTACCTTTACAAATGTTACCACTGATACTTCAAAAAAGTTAGCTGCGTACAGCTTAAGCGGTTTTTGGGATCTCATTATAAAAAATGCCAGATCTTTTTTGAAATTGCTGTTGAAATCAAACCAGTTACTGGCATAAGCGGCCATAGAAATATCTTCACTCTGAAATAAAAATAGAAATTACAAAACTGATTTAGAGAGATATGATTATGGTAGATCAAAAGTTCCCATCTCTATCTAGTCAATTTTTTTTGTTTTCGGTACATTCGTGAATGTGAATTCATTTGTTCTTTATTTTGTTATGACTACGATGAGCCTTATGAATATAAGTATGTCCAACAAGAGCATCTATGACACTGATAGTTGTGCCTGTCATTTTAATATACAGGGTGGCGCCTCTCATACGCCGCGAAGGCTCCAAGGAGAACGACAGTTTGTATTGAAATGAAATTGTGTAAACATAAGTAGGTTAATTCAGAGCACTTTTTAAAAATATAGAGAGTTCTACAGGGTGTCCCCAAAAAAATTTACATATCAAAGTTGTGTTTTTTGTAATGGAACACCCTATATATTAATTAATTTTCGGATTCTGGGAGAAAAATAAAGGTGAGTTTTATAAGAGAAGTATATGACTAAAATGTAAGGTTTTTGACATATTTAACATTTTCTAGAAATAAAGAACAATTTTTAAATTACAATAAAAGCTACCTACCTAAATTGGAATTTACCCGATACAGCTTAATATGTAGTTAAATTAACTATTGTACTTTAAATCAAATTAAAATTTGATCCAAAAAGTTATACAGAGTGAGGCAAAATTAATATTGAATATTGGTCACCTTTAAAAGCATGTTACTTTTTTATTTCAAATAGAACACCCAGTATATTATTCCGATATTCAATGGAGAATTCATGTCTCTTCAAAATACTATTAAGATTACCTACCCTTGAAACAAAGATTTTTCTAGATATTTTCATTTACATCATTTGATCTGAGTAGATCATCTTTATTATTTGATAAAAATTAGGTGGCTGTGATATGTCTGACGTTACTTCAACGTAGCTGTCTAATTAGTCCAACTTTAACAACTACTTATCATTTTGTGTCAGTTAAAACAAAAAAATTTCTCATAAATTTGACGAAAATGCAAACTTATCCTACAGCAGAGAGAATTGATATGATTCTGTTAGTTGGCGAATGCAGTGTACATTCACCTATTAATAGAATACTTAAATGCTCCTGATTGTACCTAGTCTGTTTTTTTTTATGGAAAATGTTAAAGACAGTGTTTACAAAACTCGACCAACTATTGTCGACAACATGAGAGAAATTATTGGAGCTGCTTTTCGAGGTAAAACTCCACATATGCCTTTTAAAATGAAAAGATCCTTTTGAAAAGACAATCATTTTATGCAGTTAACAGGAAAGAAAGCATTTTAAGCATTTGATTTCATCTAGCTAATTTTTGTCACATAATTATAGGTTTATATCTAGTTTAAATTCTGTAATAATTAAAATATGTTTTAAATGTGTATCTTTTTATTACAGTTGAGTATTTACTCTACAATCTTGAATTTTTGTTAAAGTAACAAAGTATATCACAGCCACCTAGATTTTTTCAAATAATAAATATCTACTGACGCAAAATCATAATAATTTAAATATTTAGGAAAATCTTTGTCTGAGGGGTAGGCAACCTTAATAATATTTTGAAGATATATAAATTCCCCACTGAACACCGGAAAAATATAATAGGTGTTCTATTTAAAATAAAGGAATAACTTGCTTTTAAAAGTGACTAATGTTCCATATTAATTTTGTTCCACCCTGTATAACTTTTCGGGTCAAATTTCAATTTGGTTTAACATACAATGGTTACTGTAATTAAACATCGGGCTATACAAGGTCAACTAAAATTTAGTTAGCCTGTTATCGACATTTAAAATTTACTCTTCATTTTCATAAAATGTGAAATATGTCAAAATCCTTAGATTTTAGGTATATGCTTCTTTAATAAAACTCACCTTTATTTTTTTTCTAGAATCCTAAAATCAATTGATATATAGGGTGTTTCATTAGAAAAACACAACTTTGATGTGTAGGTAACTTTTTTTGGGAGACACCCTGTATAATTCTATATATTTTTATAAAATGCTTTCAGTTACCCTAAATATGCTGCCAAAATTTCATTTCGATATAAATTACCGTTCTCCTTTGGGCTTCCGCGACGTATGAGAGGCGCCACCCTGTATGCAGTACAAATCTTAGTTAAGTACTGCTCATAAAGACAAAAGAATATATCAGTTTTTCAATTGCCTTTGAAGTTTGTCCGTCTGACCAGTGAGTCAGAGAGGAATATCGTCAGAACTTGATTTTAAAAAGATTCTTTTAATTAATAATTTTATTCTATGCAGCTGCGTAACAGTTTTTATGTTTCATATCGACGTAATATCCTGTATCTATAAAAAAATATTTACATTCCAAACTGTTAAAACTTAATAATTAATTAATCTCTAACGGTTATGCCATCTAAGCAAAAATCTCGCTAATCAGTATCAAAAATTATTTTGAATTATTATATTTAATTACCAATATAGTAAAAAGCATTTCTTCCTCGGTAAAAAGTGGTCGTACGTTGGTAATTAACATTTAATACAGCTATAAAATTGACAAGATTATTTCAAAATATCTGGTTTATTAATTTGCTAAAATTGTCCAGTTTTTGTTCCGTTTGCTTCAAAACTAATTTTAATGGTGATATGAATTCGACTTTACAGTTTTTTGTCAGTAGCCTGATCGGCATAAAGTTTCATACTTTCATATCTGGACTGTGTTATTATTGTTTTTCTGCTGAGATTTCTAATTAAAATTCAATTCATAATAAATATAGGGTGTCATAAATCCATACCTAATAACTATTAGGATTAACGAAATACTCTATGAATTTAGTCAAGCATATTTTATGAATCAATAGATTGATTAATATATTTTTTTCCATAACAAGTGTTAAAATTGCCTTATATCTATCAAAAATAGTAGATAAAATAGTACTTTAACAGCAATGGTAGATTAAATGATACTTTAACAGCGAGGATAGGTTAAAAACTTTATTTCTTCTCGCACGTTTTTTAATTGCTTCCATTTTTGAAAATTTTTGTATTCCTTTTCATAAGTTATTCGGGATTTAAATGGCAGTAGTTTGGATATGGCGTTTGGCGCCTCAGCCTGAATATCTGTTGGTAATTTACTTATTTCGTTTTGAGCCATTTCTGGCTCCAATTCAATCAGCAATCGACACGAAAGAGAATTAAAAAATATTGACTCAAAACTGACAACTAAAGAGACAGCTTTATTTATTTGTCAAATTACATAGAAACCTTTGAATAAGAAGACTAAGGAAGGAGCATATCAAAAATCTTAGGTACACCGCGATGGGCCTCAAATATGGCCGACTTAAATTCCGGTTTATCAGTGTCATTCTAATTTTATTTAAAAAATGTAAAATTATGATGTAGGGTAGACGTGGGGTAGACTCAATAATTTGTTGTTTTATTTTACGTTGTGAATAAATGTTGGTAGTTATTAAAATTGTTATAAAAATATATAATTCTAATAAAAATAGATAAGTTATAATAAGTATTTATTAACACAAACATCCGATACGCTACTGAAGCAGGTAAGTCAAATTAACGTATATAAATTCTTTGACATCTAATCTTTGACAAGTAATAAATGAAAACTAAAATGCAAGAAAAATGTATAATTTAGTTAATTTAAGTGAATTTCATAAATGATCGGTTTACTACACGTATGTATATTATTTAGTCACTTACTAGCGAAAAGTTGTTCCATTATTTCACTCAATTTTTGCCGAGATCTACCGCACGCTACACAACAAACTATTTTAGAGTCTTTTTCGATAAATCGCGATAGTGTCACTGTTAATTTAAGTTCTGCCACAATTTCCATCTAGATTTACTATCTTTATACAACTAACAGTAGTAGATTAAATAATAAATAACAAAAAATAAGCTCCGTAAAGACTGACAAATATACAAAATTTCAAATCAAATTCAAATGTGTCAAATGAATCGTCAAACAGAACTGCCAAGGATCACCACCATAGAGTGCTTTTTCCGCCCACCATGCATGAATACCATAATGAATACATGGATAGCATTATGCTCCTTTCTTAGTCTTCTTATTCAAAGATAGAAACCAACGCCAACCCAGCACAATATTTTTTCTACTCGTACTAAATTCCTTGGAATAATAATTTCTGAATATTTTTTAAAACGTAACTTGCTATGGAAAAAAATATTGTTTTATACACGACGATAAAATTGCATTATCGTCTCCCGAAATTAATTCACTTGCGATTTCATCGCTCGTGAAGCATTTCTTTTCGGTCGACGATAAAATATAATTTTATCGTCTGTATAAAAAATAACCTAAAGTCTTAAAAATTAAAACGCTCTCTTCGGAGGATGAACTGCTGTTGTCAGAGGATGATAGGCAATACCCTGTCCTCCCTACAACAGGAAGGTCTCTATTAGGGTGAGCTAAGAAAACTAACCTATGGAATTTATATGTTAAATTGAACCTACTAACCGAGAAAAAAATATCCCCGAAAGGCCGAAAGGCAGGATTTTTGGCTCAATTTTAAAAGGTGTCGGTGAACATTCAAAGTTTTCCATTTAACTAACAGGTAAAAAAATCATTTTCTATTAAAAAAAAACTCCATAACTTTGAAACGGTTTACGATAAAAAATGTTTACATCTCGTATTTTTAAAGAGCACAAAATTTCCTAAAAAATCTATCTGAGAGTAATTATTATCTGAGAGTAGATAATCTAGTTTTTTTTGCTAAATATGAAAAGTTTTAATCAATAAACACTAAAACTGCATATTTTGATTTTTTTCACTTTTTAAAGCTTTCAAATATACGAATTATTGAATTGAAAAAAATTACTCTGATAGATTTTTTAGGAAATTTTATGCTCTACAAGAATCCGCGATGTAGTTTTTTTATCGTAAACCGTTTGAAAAGTTATGGTACTTTTAATGGAAAAAGATTTTTTTTGCATGTTATTTAAATGGAAAACTTTGAATGTTCACCAACACCTTTTAAAATTGATTCCTGCCTTCCGGCGATATTTTTTTCTCGGTTATTAGATCCATTTTAACCCATACATTCCATAGATTAGTTTTTTTGGCTCACGCTAGTCCCTATGTATGATGAGTTAATTGAAACTGTCTATGATGAGTTATAACTGAATGTAGGACACAATAGATCTTTAAGGTCGCGGTGATTAACCCCCCCTTAATTAATATATAAAATCCTTAAGTGACTGACTCACTGATTAATCACGATCCTGCTCAAACCACTCAACGTAAGAAGCTCAATTTTGGCATACAGGTTGATTCTAGAGTGTAGAGGTTCGATAAGAAGAGATTTTTTGAAATCCCAATTACAAGGGGGTGAAACCACCCCACAAATATTACAATATTTTTTATTTAAAAAACAGTCAAGTTTCCGAAAAAACGCTTAAACACGTATATTTTATTTTGTTTTTTACGTATTTTAAGAATTTTTAAAAATGTATACAGGGTGTTTCGAAAAATCTGGTCATTGATTAATCACGAACCTGCTTAAAGCGCTTGACGTAAAAAGCTGATTTTTGGAAAACGGATTGACTTTAGGGTGCAAAGGTTCGATAAGAAGGGATTTTTCGAAACTCGAATTCTAGGAGGGTGAAACCACCCCTCAAATATTAGAATATTTTTTATTTAAAAACCGGTTTTTCGGAAAAACTCTTAAGCACGTATATTTTATTTTGCTGTTTTACATACTTTAAGATTTTTAAAAAATTTATACAGGGTGTTTCATAAAATATGACCATTGCGTAATCACGATTCTGGTTAAACTGCTTGACGTTTAAAGCTGATTTTTGGCAAACGGTTTGACTGTAGGGTGTAGAGGTTGGATAAGAAGGGCTTTCTCGAATCTCAAATTCCAAGAGGGTGAAAACGCCCCTCAAATATTACAATATTTGTTATTTAAAAAATGGTTAGTCTTTCGAGAAAACGCTTAGGACACGCATAATTTATTTTGTTTTTTCACATATTTTGAAATTTTTTAAAAATTCATACAGGGTGTTTCAAAAAGTTGGGTAATTGATTAACCACGATGCTGCTTAAACTGTTTGACGTAAAAAGCTTATTTTTGGCAACGGATTTTTCGAAAGTCAAATTCCAACGAGATGAAACTACCCCTCAAATATTATCAAGTTATATAATAATATCGCCATATTGTTTTTTTTTCATGCTGACATAAATGTGAGAAAATTTTATCCAGTTTGTATGTTAATAAAAATTATTGCTTTGCTTTATCATCGCCATTACAAATGATTAATTCGACGCGAACGATGTCGCGGGTACACGCAAGTAATTAATAAATCCACTTACTTTAATCTACTTACTTTTCGTGTCATTTCTGTAGCGAACCAGCATGGAACCAATATCAGATTTCCAATGGCAAGTTGATAAAGAATTAAATAGAAAAACTCTACTGAGTTTGGTGTGCTCTGAAATAATTACACACATTATTATCGCATAAAAAACGTAAAAAATAAAACATACCAAGCTAAGTAGAAACAAATCCATGCACAAAGTCATCGTTCCAAAACATATTTGCCAGAAATAAATCGTCCCAAATAGTTTGTTCAGTGTTTCTAAAAGGCTAAAAATAGTAAGTCAAAAAGTAAGTCAAAAATATAAAAACAATTTAAATAACGTTATATTCAATTAGAAAAGAAAACTATTCAAAGAAGAAAACATTCGGCCAATGTTTACTACCAGTCATAACATATGCTTGCGAAACCTGGACACTTAAAACGGACATCATAAGGAAACTGCAGGTCGCACAACGCTCAATGGAACGAAATATGCTGGGAATAACCAAGAGAGACCGTAAAAGAATAGAGTGGATACGACAAAAGATCCAGGTAATAGATGATGTTATCCACAGAGTCAAATCCCTCAAATGGCGATGGGCAGGACACCTGGCAGGAAGAACGGACAACAGATGGACCACAAAAATTAAAACATAATACCCACAAGGAATTAAGAGACCTAGAAGAAGACCGAACCTGAGATAGGATTATGATATTAAGAAATTATAGTCTAAGAGCTGGCTACATAAAAAAACTTATCATCGTTACATTTCTAATTTTTCTTGTGAAGTATCCTTTTGTGTAGCCATTATGAAATAGTCAGTCATGTATGCCAGCGCGATCCCAGGGTTTAAAGCGGGGGCAGCCATAGAAATGGTGAAATTTTGAAACTCAGAAAATATTATAAGGTACACGAGTTATAATTGCGAAAATAGGTTTTATTTATTATTAAGAAACGTGGAAAATTGTTGGCAGACATTTTTCTCGTCGCTAAAATGCCGGCAGACAACGCGAAAGAGGCATGAAGATTTTTCCAGAGGCCATAATTAAAAAAAATGGCATACCTACATGCATGTCGATTGGTGAAATGTTATATTTATTTATTTTAGAAGCAAAAATACAAAACGGTAGACAAAAAGATCGTGGCTAAATCAGCGACAGACAGGTATCAAAAGCACGATATTACTCTAGCGCTTTCAGGGAACGCTCCATCCATTTCAGTACAGATAAATCATGTATTTGTTACGGTTGTCCGGTTAATGTCGACATTAACATGTTAATGTTTGGGTTAGGTTATGTTTTTGGTTGTTTTCTTGTGTGTTATTTTTGAGATTAACCGGGTAATGTCGACATTAACCGGACATCGGACCTTAACCGTAACATATACAATTATATTATAAATATATTTTTTTATTATTTCAAAAACAGATATCATACATTTACTATTCTGTCTCACTATTTGTATCTGACTCATTGTACTGCAGATTCTTGCTCTCGCAAACGAGTCTTCCTCTAAGTCGATATCTGCACTGTAAAATTTTTGTAGACAGGTATTATGTTGCATTTGATAACGCCGCGAGCGTTTCCTGAAAACGCTTATACAGGGTGAGTCTTAAATAAGTGCAAATGCTTTTAGGGTGATTCTTTTGACCCCTGGAACACATCTATGAGTTTTTTTCGCAAAAAAATGTTGCAAATCGTGAATTTTTTTATTTTCCTGTATATTTTTGAAAACTCTTTAGAACTGCCTGTTTATCGCAAATTTACCCACGGTATAATTATTTCTTAACCTACCATGCTTACGGCTTTACTCGGCTTTACGTTACGACACTAAAAGAATGGATGTAAATACAGAAAAAAAAACAGGCGGTTTACAAAATTATTTAAAAATAAATCAATTTATTTTTAGATTTTCAAACTTGAATTACTGAGTTATTTTGGACTTATTTGGAAAACGGCAAAGAGCCGTATAAATAATGCCGTATAATAAAAATATGTTTCTTTTATCGAGATCTACAAGCTCCGAAAATATTTGCACTTTCAAGAGTCATCCAGTAGAGAGTAATATCGCACGTTTTATAACGGTCTACCGCTGATTGAGCCACGATTTTTTTGCATTCCCTTTACCATACGGCTTTTTAAATAAATAAACATGACATTGCACTAATCGGCATGCATGTAGGTATGATGACGATGATTTCTTTGTCAAAATTTCATGCCTCTTTCGCGTTGTCTGTCGGTATTTTAGCCACGGGAAAAATGTCGGCCAACAATTTTCCACATTTCTTAATAATAAATAAAAGCAAATATTTGACAATTATAACTCATGTAACTTATAATATTTTTAGTGTCAAAATTTCACCCTGTCGATTGGCCGCCCCCGCTTTAAGCCCCGGGATTGCGCTGGCAGACATGACTATTTCATAATGGCTACACAAAAGGATACTTCACAAGAATAATTAGCCATGTAACGATGATAAGGTTTTTTTCTGTAGCCAGCTCTCCGTCTATTAGCAGGAATAACTTGGGCCTGCATAGCCAACAATAGATAACAATGGACCCAACTCCAAATAGAGTATCTAAAAACAAGGGAGGTTACACCATAATTGGAAATGGTTGAATAAGCTGAAAATGATGATGATGATGATGATGATATTCAATTAAGCCTTTACAAAAAAAATGACTCAAAATAAAATGATGTCAACGACATTTATACTTTGTCTTGAAATTGACTTAAGATTTAAATCATTTTGATTTTAGAAATGACTTAAGACTTTTTATGTCTTTTTAAAACTGACTTGTTGCAGCTCTGCCCTGTATGGACCTTTTCTTTTTTCTTCCAAGTTTTTTTTTCATCTCGTATTTTGTTCTTCGTGGGAAATACATACAGAATTAATCACAATTCTATAGTAAACCTATTTAAGTCAAATTTATGCAATAGACAAAGCGCTGTTCGTTTCCATCGTGCAACTATTTATATAATGAATATGTATTATTGTTGCAGAAAATCGCCAAGATTTCGGATTGTGCAAATCAGAAACATGTCAAAGTGAAACCGTTTTCCTTTAAACAGATTTTAAAGGAAACCCTAAAATTAAATCTGTTATATTTTCGAACTTAATAAATTATACGTTCACCGTAAAATTTGATTTCTTAATATTAATTACTCGTAGATTTTAGCAATATCACTCCCTGCAATTATACAAACTTGTTAATTATTAATGATATTTAAAAAAAATTACTAAATATTTAGAAATCTTAATGCGATACATTTGTTTAAGTTTTCTGACATATAATTCTTCCTAAACTATAATAAGACAACCACGAGATAAGGTTATCTAGTTGAGGTTGAAATACGAAGATGCGACAGATGAACTTATAGTCTAAGAGCTGGCTACATAAAAAACCTTATCATCGTTACATGGCTAATTTTTTGTATGAAGTATTTTTTTGTGTAGCTATTATGAAATAGTCATGTCCGCCAGCGCGATCCCGGGGCTTAAAGCGGGGGCGGCCAATCGAAAGGGTGAAATTTTGACACTAAAAATATTATAAGGTACTCGAGTTATAATTGCGAAAATACCTTTTTTATTATTAAGGAACGTGGAAAATTGTTGGCAGACATTTTTCTAGTCGCTAAAATGCCGACAGACAACGCGAAAGAGACATGAAATTTTAAAAATTGTTAAAAAATGAAATTTGAAGAATGAAAAAAATTATGGTATACATGCATGATGATTGGTGGAATGTCAGATTTATTTATTTTAAAAGCCGTTTGAAAAGGGGCAGACAAAAAGTGGCTAAATCAGCTGCTGACAGTTATTAAAAGCGCGATATTACTCTAGCGCTTTCAGGGAACGCTCGCTACCTCATCCATTTAAGTATAGATAAATCATGTATACGATTATATTATAAATATATTTTTTTATTATTTCAAAACAGATATCATATATTTACTATTCTGTCTCATCTATTTGTATCTGACTCATCGTACTGCAGATCCCCGCTCTCACAAACGAGCCTTCCTCTGAGTCGATATCTGCACCGTAAAATTTTTGTTTCAATTGATAACGCGGCAAGCGTTTCCTGAAAACGCTTATACAGGGTGAGTGTTAAATAAGTGAAAATTAGGGCATTCAATCCCGGGATCCCGGGATCCCGGACATTTTTTCAATCCCGAAATCACGGGATTGTCTTTTCTTTAATCCCGGGATTTTCGGGATTCATCATTACATTTTTTCCTTAATTTAAATCGTACACAAGTCTTTCATGATAGTACAATATGCGCTTATAAACAACCCTGAATGTTTGATCAAGTTTGAAGATGATGAAGATCTAGTTTGAGTGATAATACTCTTGATCGGCTTGTTTTTTTTAAGAATTTTTTTCAAAAACCAAAAAAACCAAGTTTAGATCCTCATCTTTGTTACTGGATAAGTTGTTATTTTAGTATCTCTTAGTAATCCTGTGTTATGCTGTATTCGATTGGTTATGTAAATTAAATAAAAAATGTATATTTTAGTTTCTTTTATGTTTTTATTTTTTGTTAAATAAACTTATATGTTATGTTGTTTTGTAATGGGGATGACGTTTAATTTATGTTTTTTTTGTTCAATAAAATTTTGTAAAGAAAGAAAATATAATATAATTCCAACGTAATTAATTTTTTCGTGAATCCCGGGACCAATCCCGGGATCCCGGGATCGAAAAATTATAATCCCGAAATCCCGGGATTGAAAATTTCTTTCGGGATTGAATGCCCTAGTGAAAATACTTTTAAAGGTGACATATTTCGACCCCCGGAACACGTCTATGAGTTATTTTTTCGCAAAAAAAGATGTAGAAAATCGTGCCTTTTTTTAAATTTTCCTGTATATTTTAGAAAACTTTTTAGAACTGCCTGTTCACCGCAAATTTCCCACAGTATAATTATTTCTTAACCTACCATGCTTACGGCTTTACTCTATGGCTACGACACTAAATGAATGGATGCAAATACAGAAAAAATACACATCAATCAAAAAATTGAGAAAAAAAAACAGGTGGCTCACAAAATTATTTAAAAATAAATCAATTTCTTTTTAAATTTTCAAACTTGAATAACTCGGTTATTTTGGACTTATTTGGAAAACGGTAAAAAGAAAATATGTTTCTTTTATCGAGATCTACCAGTTCTAAAAATATTTGCACTTATTCAAGATTTACCCTGTAGAGTAATATCGCGCTTATATATATATACTTCACACAAAAAATTAGCCATGTAACGATGATAAGGTTTTTTATGTAGCCAGCTCTCCGTCTATTAAGAGTCTATTACGCTGTACTGCTTGGGTCGCTATCAGGGGTCGAGTAAAGCGGGTGTGTGGCCAAAGGAAATATATATTATATTTCAGAAATCTGCCTAAGGCTTAGCCCGATCCTGTCGTGTTAAGCCACATCCAAAATTCCAAACAAACGTGCTTAAAGTAAGGCTTGATCCTTATCTATGGGCTTGATTAAGCTTTGCAGAGCTTCAGCATTTGCCATAACATAGCGAGCATTGTTACAAAACCATATAAATTATATATCACTGTAATCACAAAACTTCCATCCATTTCCGTATTATAACGGAATTTTAAATTATGTCTTTATTTTCGAGAAAATTTGGTTCAAACATAAGGTTTGTTGAATATCGTCGTTGGAAACATAGGGAATCCCATGCAAATTTTGCTCAAATATTGGCTCAACTGTTCAAATATTGGGTCCCCTATTCATTTTACAGCGAAGCCGTAAATAGATGTTTTAAAGGTTTATATATGGTAAATACACATGCCAAATTTCAACAATTTTGGACCAGCTAATTTTGCGTAATTTAAAAAAGACTGCAACTATTTTTAAATTAAAACCGTAACAGGTAACAATCAAACACCAGTCAATAGCCAGGTAGGTTTACAAACTATGAGTTTGTTATTGTCAAAAGTGCCTAATTTAATTTTTAATATTCAGGAGAAATTAACCGAAACATGCAACTTATAATAGTGTTGGGGCGGACCCGTGTGGACTCGACCTAACCTAACTATATGTCCCGCCCTCAGATGACCTTAACATCGCATTAAAGAATAGACACCGTAATGATTCATTCGTTCGAGAAGAATCGAGTCCCACTGGAATGGACTAGTACATACGAGAACATTCGAAAACCTTCTCTACGCACCTAACGATCTATGGACTATTCTAGAGTTCTTAACCTGTCGGTATAAAAGCCGGCGGCTGTGGCCTACAGGGGCCAGTTATAAATAAACAGTACAGTTGACGCGCTAAAGTTCAAAATAAATTCTTAGTTATAAATCGTTTGTAAATAGTTCTATAAGTCTTTTATCGTTATTGTTTTTGTTAATTAGTGTTAAATAAATAGTGTTTAAATAAATTGTGACTTTCTATCCACACGGAACCGACGAAAAACGTAACAATAGAATAGATATATAAAACTTATCAACCTCTAGAATAGCCTATTATGCCCTTTTTGAGTTCTCTTCGTTATGCCCTTCCATTCTGGGACACTTGCTACGCAACAAAATTTGATCGTATTTTCAGACTTCAAAAGAGAGCAGTTCGATATTTATTGGAACTGAACAGTAGAACTCACTGCCAAAATTTCTTTAAACATTTCAAAATAGTGACTCTTCCTTCCTTGTTCATTTTTGAATCCGTTTGCTTAATCCGCAAGCACATATCTGTAATTCCCGAAAGGCCATCTCACAACTATCCACTTAGGAATGCGGAGCACGATCTTTATCTGCCACCCCGAGTTCAGAGCTAGTTAAAGGCTCAATAATGTACAATGCCAAAAAAATGTACAATCATCTGCCTTTGAATATCAAGTCGCTTTCATTCTTTCCCGCATTTCGCAAAGCTCTGAAATCATACTTACTGGAGAGAGCCCTATATGCGGTAAACGACTTTTATGTTGATGTTTAATCATGAACAATTTTGAATTTTAAAATTTAGATCATCTCACACACTGGTCAAAGGTCAAGTATTTAATATTTTATAACTCTTAAAATCATAACGATTTACTGCTGAGTGTTCTGCAATTGTCCATGTATGTTCTTTTTGTAATTTTAATGACTTACATTTTTTTCATTTGTATGATTTGTATTGTGTATTTTTTGTTTGTATATTTTTTTGTGCTTTTGTTTGTTTTGTAAGTGCTTTGTCGATGAAGCTGTTTTGGCTTTGTGTACAATAAAGCGTTGTTTGTTTTGTTGTTGTTTGTAAACTATTACTTGCATACTACCATTTTATCATGCTCATTTTTTCTTTGTGTGTATAACAATAAATTATTACTAGTACTGAATATTAAAATTTTATTAAAATTAAGTTACATTTGGAAATGACGCTGACACCTTAACTTATGTCGGTTTTTGACGGGTGTTTGATTGTTACCTATTCAGTTTAAAAAATCGATTCAGTTTTTGTCAAATTACGCAAAATTGGCTTTTCCAAAATTGATATGCGTGTTTACCAAACGTATAGAGCTTAAAAAAAATCTGTTTACGATTTCGCTATAAAATCAATAGGGGTGCCAATATCTAGACAGTTCAAAATTTGCATGGAATTTCCAACTACGATGCAACACCCGGTATTTGATTATTTACTTACTTCAATATTAACGTATGATGCTGGACACATTTGATAAAATAAGGCCTGTTCTTCTCATCGGAAAATGTACCAACCTTCCCAAGCCTAAGGCAAAGTACTTCACATTGCAATCCTACAAAAGTAGCCATAGCTGTTAACAAAACATCGCAGTACATATTCAACCCTCCAATAAGCATCACACAAACAAACTGATGAAAATATACCATCTCATAAGTACCATGCTGCAATACGTCAAACGGATACCAAGCATTAAACGGAAATTGACGTTCTTTGTCAAAAATCGGGTATAAACCCGACCCTACGATGCCCGTACCTACAATAAATATCATCACAAACTTTCTTTTCTGAAAATTGTCCAAAACTTTTACAACTAAATTATGTTCTTCTTGGTTTTCAGGCTGAAATAATTCTTCATTTAAATAATCAAAAAGTGAGTAAAAATACTTTAAATTAGATAAAAGCAAGTAGGATTTTATAGGAGCCATGAAGCATATAGGCTTGATGTAGGTCAGTCCAAAATCAGCCATGCTTCTCGTGCTGATGATCCAGTCCAAAATCAGCACTGAGCTGATCAGAAAATAATTCGTGTTTATCAAGATAGTGTAGCATTTTTGGGACAAAGATTTTGATTGTTTCAACCAGATTCCTACTAGTTTCAGTCTGTCAAAGTCAATCTTGAAAAAATTTCGGTAATCGTAGGATGGTGGCATCTTTAGATGGCAAGGGTTTGAAGTGAAATAAATTAACAATATTCTTTGTTAGGTGGCATATATTAGTGTGAATATTAATAAATAATTTACTATTTCATGGGTCTGTTAAATAATTCGGGTGCTGTAGGTTATTTTAAATGGTGGTTGCAGTAGTTATAAAGTTTCGTATATTAAATTGTTTTGTGAATTATAAATGATCGATACTAGACTACCATCGAGAGTTTCATAAGAAAAATCTTAATCATATCCTTATGTAGAGGCTGATTAATAATTTAAAAAATATATTAGTGATGTTTAAAAGTATCGATATCTCAAAAAATATCGATAGTTGAAAATTGAGATATTTTTTCAACCTTTATTTGCAGATTTTTTTGCAAAGATATATTCAATAAAGACGAAATTCCCTACAATGCCCTTACTGACAATAAATATCATAACACAAACTCTCTTTCTTTTCTGAAAATTGTCCAAAACTTTCACAACTAAATTATGTTCTTCTTAGTTTTCAGGTTGAAATAATTCTTCTTTTAAATAGTCAAAAAGTGAGTAAAAATACTTCAAATTTGATAAAAGTAAGTAGGATTTTATAGGAGCCATGAAGCATATAGGCTCGATGTAGGTCATTCCAAAATCAGCCATGCTTCTCGTGTTGATGATTCTGTCCAAAATCAGCACTAAGCTGATCAGAAAATAATTCGTGTTTATCAAGATAGTGTAGCATTTTTGGGATAAAGATTTTGATTGTTCTAACCAGATTCCTACGAGTTTCAGTCTGTCAAAGTCAATCTTGAAGAAATTTCGATAATCGTAGGATGGTGACATCTTTAGATGGCAAGAGTTCGAAGTGAAATAAATTCTTTGTTAGGTGGCATATATTAGTGTGAATATTAATAAATAATTTACTACATAATGGGTCTGTTAAATAATTCAGGTGATGTAGATTATATTAAATAGTGGTTGCAGTAGTTATAAAGTTTCGTATATTAAATTGTTTGGGGAATTATAAATGATCGATACTAGACTATCATTGATAGTTTCAAAAGAAAAATCTTAATCATACCCTTATGTAGAAGCTGATTCATTATTTTAAAAAATATGTTAGTGATGTTTAAAAAGATCGATATTTTAAAAAAATATCGATTGTTGGAAATTGAGGTATATTTTCAATCTTTTTTTGCAAAGATATATTAACTTTACAAGGGTTTGCGTAGATAATAAATAATAATAAGTCCCCTTACAGATTAGCCTTAGCAGCAAAAAGGAGAGTTATCTTAAAATACTTTGAGTTTAAATTATGTAAACATTTTTCGTTAAAGAAAATACAGGGTACAATGCTAAGACAAGGAAATACAATATACATTTATCGCTTTATTGTATTAATTTTCAAAGTTTACTACTTCCTAATAAGAAATTTCCTTTTGTTCTTAGCACATAAATCATTAAACACACATGCACTTATATCTATCTACTCTTGACACTGAAAAGATTTACAGCTAAGCCATAACACGTTCATAATAATGTGAACGAACTCTCTACCATTTTTAATTCCTTCTTTAATTTACACCTTACTTAAATAAAAATTAACAATTTGACAATTTGCGTAATAGAATAATACATTTAGTTAATCTTTTGGCAATTAACGCTTTTTTTCAAATTGTTTAGGGTAATGTTCAAAGAAAAATCTACCGATATTACTCTTTACTTATGGTAAATATTTATACAAAAGCAGTCCAAAAATAATACGCAACAAAATAGAATAAATGGTAAGGTCTAACCAACTAAACATAGCGTTTTACCTATACAGTTTGTGCCAAATTGAACGCTTTTAGAGAGAAACACCCCTTTCTATAGGAGGTAGATGAAAACAAAAACTAATATCTTTTACCACTTTTTATGATTCTGTATATTTTTTTCTATACAAAGATATATACGAAATAGAGAAATCAGAAACATAATTATTCTTTTTAGTTCAAAAGGAAATAATTTAAGAATAAAAACTTTTTATGCCATTTATGCTTGGGTAGACTAATTATCTCTTTTTTCTTCAAACAATATCCTGTGTAAAACAGGTGAGGCCTTGATCAAATCAAGCATTAAAATCAACTTAAACGCGGTTAATAAAAAAATTATTTCGTTTCAATTAAATCCTAACTATTTCACTGCAGTAATCAATTCGTTTAATCTGCATATGTGCAATTTTTTTCAAGGAAAACCGTTTTTAGTACTACTTGTACTTAAATTATTAGATTTGCATAATATAGGTTGTTACAAAAATATTACTGTAATTCGTGAGTTATTTAAATATTATTCAACAATTAGAATTCTATGAAAACTGGTAATTAGGACAAAAAACTCTTATAATAACGCCCTAAGCAATGCAGTAAATAATATTTTTTACAAGAAATATTAAAACTAATTCCTGAAATTAAATAATTAGGTCACAGAAGGGCATTAAGCTCATAAGTAATATATATTTTTAAGAATTTGTCTAATAAAATATGCTAAGATTTAAATTAAGTTCAACATGTCAATGTGGAACTCAAAACTTCAAAAGTTTTTCGATGTAATAGAATAATTAGGTATTTGACGATTCAAATTGAGCCATCCATTTTTGAGGCTTAGAATCGTCCTATAATCTTATACCACAAGAAAAATATAGTTAAATAGAATTGCCGAGTTCAGCGTTTTTCACAATTCATTTGAACTCGAGTTAAATCTATGTTTGTACAACCGGGCCTAAGAAGTAAGACCAAAAATCATCAAATGTCAGTATCTGATATACCGGGTGCGTCTCAAAAGTAGCTCACCCCTATAACTTTTTTATTTTTTCAGTAAAAATAATGAGATTTGTTATGTTAGTATATGACATAAATTAGGATTGATTGGCGTATTCAATTGTTTTTGGTCACTTCTTGTTTCACCGGAAACGACAACAACTTTTGATTTTTAAATGGCACCCTCTGTATTTTTTTACTTTATTCGATAAAAAATTACATTCTAAATAAAATGACATATCATATGTCAACTTTTGACATTCTCGCTTAATAAAAAATCGTATATTAAAATTCAATCTAAAGTGCCATGGCTATGTTAAAAACACTAATTGTTAATCAAGAAGTCTTGGAAAAATAGATTTGATCGTGTAATGTTTTTAATGTCTTGTCCTGGCCAGTTAGAAAATGGCCAAATCGTATTTTAATCATATCTCAATTTTTTCAAACGGAACGATGGTGGCTCATTAGCATATTTGGAAAAAGAATTTTTTTACGAATAATTTGATACCACGCACTTGGTAGTTCGAGTCAAATTTTCGTTACGAACCGCAAGTTCGTAACAAAAAATTCAATAATAAACCATATGCGAAAATGTCAATACTTATGATATATGATTCTATACAGAGTGTTATTTTCTATCAAATAAAGTAAAAAAATACCGAGAGAGCTACTTAAAAATAAAAGGTTGTAGTCATTTCCGGTGAAACAGGAAGTGACCGAAAACAATTGAATACATCAATCAATTCTAATTTATGTCATATACTAACATACCAAATCTCATTTTTTTATCAGAAAAAATAAAAAAGTTATAGGGTTATAAAAAGCCACTTTTTAGACACACCCGATATAGAGCAGACTCAATTGGTTTTCTTTTACGTTATCAATACAAATGTTAAAATAGATAAGTTAGAATAATTATATTATAACAAAAATATCAAATATATATTTTTTTTCCTTTCTTGGGTATGAGTTTTTTTTTATTAATTGAAAATGGAAACTTTTTTTTTATTATTATGCGACGTTTCGCCTCATCATGGTGGGCTTTCTCAGGCACTTTATTCTTGAATTCTTCTATATAGACTGGTGGTAGCAAGGCGGCTGCGGCTTCAAGAATAAAGTGCCTGAGAAAGCCCATCATGATGGGGCGGAACGTCGCATAATAATAAAAAAAAGGTTTTCATTTTCAATTAATAAAAAAAAACCTCATACCCAAGAAAGGAAAAAAAATATTAATGGATATAATTCTAAAGGTTTAAGAAAAAGAAAAAAAATAAACTCTTATAAAAAATATCAAATACACCACTGAAACACCTAAGTCAAACTGACGTATCCTAATTATTTTTGATAAGTAGTAAATAAAGTGAAAATGCAAGAGAAAAATATATAATTCTCAGTGAATTTCATAATTGATCGGTTTACTACACATGTTTTATAGAGTTACCAGCAGTGGCGGATACAGAGGGGGGCTCATGGGGCGGATACAGAGGGGGGCTCAAATTCCCCCCTTAAAATATTTTCTTCCTTAAAACCTATAAGTTGTAATAAATATTAGGCTTTTCGGTTAGAAATAGCGCCCTAATAAGTATAAATATTCTACATTACTTTTTATTTGGCCCTCCCCTAAAATAAATTCCTGTATCCGCCTCTGGTTACAGTGAAAATGATCCCCTTAGTATGAAAAGATCTACTATCATACTATTGGTAGATATATAGTATGACTGGTATCATAAAATTCAAACATGCCGAACAAATTTCTTCGAAACAGAGAATATCTCGTACGTGTGGTTTCAGAAATAAACTGTTAATTATTATTAATGTCATCATCATCA